TTTAATATTTCTTAGTCATTTTGTTCCATCCTGACTCTCCAATGTCTTGCAATTTCTGCAGCTCTTGTGGCTACGTGCTGTGAACTTATAAATTATGTTTATGCTGGACATCCACCGTTGAATGAAAATTCAACAGTGGATGTCCATCATAAACAGATTAAGCTCTGTGGGCTGACATCAGTGACATCCTTGGAGAGCCAACTTGAGATGACCACGTCCACTGTGACATTGTTCAGTCTGCTAGAAGCACTTATTTGAAAATGGGCAGGTGCATAAATTGAATGCACACGCATACTGTGACGTTCAAAGGATGCTAATTTTTTATACAATTGCCAAATTGCTAAATGTGCCCCAGGAAAGCTTCATCCACACCATTATAATAGAAACTTGGATTTATGGGGTTTAGGCCACATTCCAACCTTACCACTTCGATGCAGCAGAAATGGTGATTCAGTACATGTAATTATTTTCCAAAGTTTAGTCGTCCATTTGTGTTGACATGAATCCACTATACCAGTGATGGATAACCTGGACACCTTGAATTGTTTCTGTACTACATTTCTACACTATACTCTCCTGTTTCTGTTCTTAGCCTCCATGAGTAGCACCTGCCATTGTTCTCTGCTGTGAGGTCCGGCCACCTAAACATTTAATAAGCGGTCTACATTAAATTCCTTTCAGTTCAATTTTTAGTTAATTGTCTGTCGTAGACTTGATATGGATGACCCTCACTTGGATAGCATGGTGACCGTTTTTGTACTCTAAGATCATGTGTTTATTTTCTGTGCCTTCCAAAATAAATCATATAGAGAAACCAGCTGGAATATCCACCAGGTGTGATCCATTCTCTCAAACAGCTGTGCTTTCCTGCAGGCCCGCATGGTCTACTAACCAATCCACGAGGAGTGTGTGATACAGTGTGCACTCATGCATCAAAAAAAGCAGCAAGGGAAATTAATTTCATATTCCATCAAATCATATATTACAAGGAAACACACTAAATGTAAAGCAATCATAGCACAGTTCAGACAGAGAGAAACAAGTAAACAAGAACTTAACTATGTCAAACCATAATCATAGTCACATAGACTGAAAAGAGACATGCCCATCAAGTTCAGCCTTTCTTACATGTTTTTGCTGTTGATCCAAAACAAGGGAAAAAGCCCAGTCTGAAGCACTTTCAATTTTGCAACAAACTAGGAAAAAAATCCTTCTTGACACCAAAATGGCAGTCAGATATCTCCTTGGATCAAGAAGCTATTAACCCACTAATTGGAAATTATATTTCTGTATCTTATGTTTTTGCAAGTATTTATCCAATTGCTGTTTAAACATCTGTATGGATTCTGATAAAACCACATCTTCAGGCAGAGAATTCCACATTCTTATTGTTCTTATTGTAAAATACTCTTTCCTTTACCTTAAATCCAAGCTATTGTGACACAGGATCTAATTAGTGGCACTTGTCATCTTATCCACTGTTAGCGTAACACACCCGCTTTAAGGACACTGACTGCTATTCAATCTATAACAGTGAAGTATTGGCAGAGTGCCGGGCAGTACCAGAATATGTGGCTCGTGTTTCCCACATGTTGGCTGCAGCGCCAACATCTATCCTGCACCCCTGGGTATATTTGGGCCAACCTGTGTGGTGTGTAGTACCACTGCATCCACATCTTGTAGGCTGCTTCTACATGGTCCAAGCACTTTGTCGCCCGTTTAACCAGTGTCATGGCCCCTATTCACTTCCCATGCTCGAGTTCGCAGTTCAATTCTCTTTCCCATTTGAGCATGTATGATTGTTTGGCCGGTCTGTCTATGTCTAGCAACCTATGGTAACACAGGGAGAGTGGTTTTTTGGGGGGTTTTAGACCTTGGCATAGCAAGTCAAAGTGGTTTTGGGGTTGTGTTGGTGTCCTTTCCTTGCCGGTGGCCCCTAAGATATGTTTTATGCGTAAATATGTGAATATTTCGCTGTTTGGTAGGTGGTATTGGCTCTGGAGGTCCGGGAACGCTAGCAGCCCATTAGCTCCATAGAGGTGTGTTATCTGCATCAGCCCCCTGTTCACCCACTCGCCCAGATCCAGGTCATGTGTGTGGTGCTGGAGACTTGTCAGTGGGGCAAGGGTCTCTATCTTTGCACTGAGCATTTTTGGGGCCCATCTCAGCCATAGCTGCAGGGACAGCTTGGTTGTTGTGAGAGGGTTCGTGAGTCGAGGTTGGGCCTTGGCTGGGATCCAAACCAGGTCCCTAAGGGAGTAAGGCGCACAGACAGCACTTTCCAGTTGGTGCCACAGTGGGCAATTCGAGGTGGAGAGGAGGCGTGCCGTCTGAGATATGTTTGTTGCTAGGTAGTATTTGGTTATGTGTGGCACACCCACCCCGCCTCCCCCCATGGCTGTGCTAATATTTGCTAGTGAGATTCTGGGTGGTTTTTTCCTCCATATGTGTGCGTTGATGAGTCACTGAAATGCTCGGAGGGTGTAGTTTGGTAAACTGATGGGTAGGGCCCTGAATAGAAATAATACTTGCGGTAGTATGATCATTTTCACGGCGTTGATGCGCCCCAACCAGGATGTGTGTTTGTTTTTGCTTCCCCAGCCCTCCAGCACCTGCTCTATTTTTGCTGTGAGTCGCCCGTGGTTATGTTTTATGAGGAGCTGTTTGGAGGGTGCTAGTTGTGTGCCTAGATAGGAAATGGTATCTTTCCTCCATTCAAAGGGGTATAACGTTCGTAGGGTCGTGAGTTGGGATCTGGGCATGTTCAGCGGGAGCACCTGTGTTTTTGCTACATTATTTTTGTAGTAAGAGACCTGGCCATAGTCCCGTAGTAGGTCCAGGAGGGCGGGTAGGGAGTCCGAAGGGTTTGTTAGGAAGAGAAGGATGTCGTCAGCAAACACTGCCATTTTTTGCGGGCCTGTCGGGGAGGGGGCGCCTAGAATGCAGGGGTTAGTCCTGATTTTATGGAGCAGGGGCTCCAGTGCCAGGATAAAAATGAGGGGCGATAGGGGGCATCCCTGTCTTGTGCCGTTCGTTAGGGCGAATCTGCTGGAAATGAAACCAGAGTTCATGACTGTGGCTTGGGGGAACGAGTAGAGGGATAAGAGCCCAGCTAGGAATTTTGTCGGGAAGTTGAACCTACGCAGGACCTCTGTCATGTAACCCCAGTGGAGTCTGTCAAAGGCCTTTTCTGCGTCTAAGGCCATTATTAAGCCCTGTGACCGATCTCTATTCATGAGTTCCATTACGTCAAGGGCTCGTCTGGTGTTATCTTCTATCCTGATTGTTCTGGGGATACTAATTGAGCTAGTGTAGGGCGTATTCTGTTTGCAAGGGTCTTGGCGAACAATTTTGTGTCAGCGTTGAGGAGTGAGATTGGGCGGTAGTGTGCGCATGTATCAGTAGTTTTGCCTGGTTTAGGGAGCGTAGTAATGGTGGCTTCCAACATTTCCAGGGGTATCTCCCCCGACTCTAGAATGTGGTTGAATAAGGCCGTGAGATGGGGGAGTAGCTGGTCCTCAAAAACCCTGTAGTAGTGGGTTGAGAAGCCGTCTGGGCCTGGGGCTTTGTGTCTGGGCGTGTCGTGTAGAGCCTTTGATACTTCAGATGCTTCAATTGGGTTAGTCAGTGCAGCGGCCTGTTCGTTGGAAAGTCGAGGGAGAGTCACTCCGTCTAGGAAGGAAGTAATATCTTGGGGATTGGGTTGGTGTTGGTTGGCGTCCCCAGACAGGTTGTGTAGCCCTGCGTAAAATTGGGCAAACTTGTCTACTATCGCTTTGGGGTTTCTAATCTTGGTGCCCGTGTCGTCCTTAATATATGGGATCTTTGCCTGCGAGGTGCGTTCCCTGAGTTGGGAGGCTAATATTTTGCCCGCTCTGTTACCCTGTCTATAGTAGTTGGTTTTCATTTTACGAATTGCCCGTTCTACTAGCTGCATCTGTAGTGCTTCTATAGTGGCCCTTAACGTCTGTACCTCCTGCCTGTTGGAGTGTGTGGGGGAGGTCTTGTGTCGTGTTTCTGCTTGTTTTAAGTCGGTCAGTAGGGTCTTACTTTTTTCTGTCAGTTGGCGCTTCAGTTTTGCCCCTTGTCGTATTAGCAGACCGCGCATTACTGCCTTATGGGCAAGCCATGTCATTGCGACGTTCGTGTCGGTGTAGTGGTTATCTACAAAGTAGTGCGCCAAGGCACTCCTTATCTCGGCCGCCCTGTCCACATTGTCTATCAGTGATTCGTTTAGTCTCCACTGACCCCGACCCCGGACTGGGTGGAGCGTGGTAAAGACTGAAGTGAGGGGGGCATGGTCTGACCAAGTCAAGGGGGCAATTGATACCTCCTCCAGGGTATCTAGCGTTTTCACATCCACTAAGCACATGTCTATCCGGGAGTATCGATCATGTACCTTGGAATAGAACGTGTAGTCTTTAGATGCTGGGTATAGCGAACGCCATGTATCGTGTAGGCCGTGTGAGTTGAGGAGCGCTGTCACTTTCATCCCTAGCTGTGTTGATCGCAAGTGGGAACAGGGTTTGCCGGTCCTATCTAGAGCTGGGTCCAGTACGCAGTTAAGGTCTCCACATATAAGCGTCTGCCCTTTCTTCTTCTTGTCTACTTGTTGTAAAGCTTTCCTAAGGAAGTCATACTGGTTGGTGTTGGGGGCGTATAGGTTGACTACTGTCACCTGGACGTCATTTAGTAGTCCTACTAGTATTAGAAGCCGGCCATCGGGGCTTTTGTATTCTACTTCACATTTAAATTGCCAATCAAAATGGAAGAGAATGCTAACACCTCGTGTCTTATTCGGTGCCGTGGCATGGTAAGCTTGTGGATAAGATGTGGACGAGAATTTTGGTGGGTTTTTAATTGAGAAGTGGGTTTCCTGTATGCATGCTACAGAGGCGTGTAGAGTGCGTAATTGGGAGAACGCCAGCCTGCGTTTTTGTGGGGTGTTCAGCCCATGGGCATTTAGAGACACCAGGCGGAATTTATTGGCGGAGGTCATTTTAACTAGTTGGGGTGGCCCTAGGGCCCGGTTGTTTGGGTGTAGTGTTTTCTCTTGCCACTACATGACAGAGTTGGTGGGGTGAGGCTATTTTTTCCCCTCGTCGTACCCAGTAGTGAAAGGGGAGCATCTCGGGTAGGGGGTTAGGGCAGGGGGAACAACCTGGAACATAACCTAAGAAACAAAACCATAAAACAGAAATAAAGTATATACATTTCAAACAGCTATTAAGCATTATGTGAGGGACCCTGCTGCCGAGCTCGCACCCTCCACTGCACTGAGAGGGGGTCGCAATGGCAGGCGGTGTCCCGCAGGTGTATCGGGGGGGCGTCTGATATTTGGTGAGGCCTGTACCTCTTTCAGAGCCCGGCTCACTCGAAAAAGTAGGCGGTGGGGGGGGAGATATGGGGGCTTGATTGAGCCGTTGGCTGTCTTGTATAAGTCCGTGAGTGGAGTGGTGAGAGGTGAGCACATTCTCTGTGCCCTGCAGTTTTTCGGCCTTTGTCTGGCCATGCTGGGTTCAGATTTTAGTGGGCAGTCTCTGCAAGGGTCTGAGCAGCGAGTCTGAGTGCTTAGGGGTAAGTCTCGCAGTGACAGGGTGGGCCAAATTGCGCTGTGGTGTGGCAGTCACTTTTTCTCCTGTGCTGGGTTGGGGGGAGGGTGGGGGGGGGGTGAGGGCGAGCAAGAGTACTCACATGGGTGCTGAATGTCCTTCAAGCTGTGCCATTCCCAGATGAGTGGGGCGGTCACCATGGGGGGTCACACGGGTCTCTAACAGAGTCGTGCTGTAGCCGGCACCCCCTTCTGGGTGGCGGTAGTGTACTTTAGGCTTTAGACCAGTCCGCGGTCACCTTCTTTAGGGAGGTTTGGGTGTGTGGTGCTTTGCCGTCTGGGAACAAGCCCCAGGTCTTGAGCTTGTCCATTCCCAAGGCCGGATCTTCGATCTTTATTAGGGAGCCGTTCCGCCAGATAAGGAGTTTTGTAGGAAATCCCCACCTGTACGGTATTTTGTTGTTTCTGAGGCATTTCGTAATGTTAATGAATTCCCTTCTCCTGGCCATTGTCGTCAGGGAGAGGTCAGCGAAGAGGGAGATATTTTCATAGGTTGGCGGCATCGCTGAGGCCTTCCTTTGCGCCGTGAGTATGGCTTCCTTCGCAGAGTAGTAGTGCAATCTGGTCACGATGTCTCTTGGCACTTCTTGTGCAAGGTTTTGAGGTTTTGGCACTCGGTGCGCCCGGTCCAGGCAGAGGTCCGCCAGTTCTAGGTTTGGTTGGATCGCTTGAAAGAGTCACAGTAGGTAGGCCAGCAGCTCTTCTTGTGTCACTGTTTCTGGTACCCCGCGCACGCGGATATTATTGCGGCGGGAGCGATCTTCCAAATCTGCCAGTTTTTCCATAAGGCGTTTGTTATCAGCGTCCATCCTTTGTATTTTCTCCACTATGGTGTCATTCATGTGGCAAAGCTCATCAGTCTTTCTTCTAGTGCATTCACGCGTGTCCCCACTTCATGGATGTCTTTGCGCATGTCAGAGACCGCAGCTTGGAAGTCAGTCTTCATAGAGGTGCGTAGGTCCTGCAGCATTGCCGCCAGGCGCTTTTCCGACACAGACAGATCATCAGCGGTTGCTTGACTCATATCTGTGTCTGATCCTGCGTCTGAGGTGTGAGTGGGTGAGCGGGAGCCGCCGCCATCTTGCTCCATGCGCTGCTTCCCTCCTTTACCCTGCCGGAAGAAGTCCGATGCCCTTTGAGACTTCGGGGGTGCCATCTCTAAGGTAGGAGGTTCCCCTGTGGTTGGGCACCCTGGTAGGGTTGTTCCGGGCTCTTTCGCCGCTTTTCTGCCGCTTTTAGGCCTTACCGATCACGGAGCTGCGGTTACATGCGACCGCTCCGTCCGACCGGAAGTAAAACATACATTTTTTAAATGTATCAATAGTGACATTGTAACACTATTATCTGTCATAAATCTCTGAATAACACCCCACATGTACATATTTTTTTTAAAGTAGACAACCCAGGTTATTCAATATGGGGTATGTCCAGTCTTTTTTAGTAGCCACTTAGTCGAAAACACTGGCCAAAGTAAGTATTCATATTTGTTTGTGTGTGAAAAAAGTAAAAAAACTAAATTGAACGCTAATTTTGGCCAGTGTTTGTGACTGAGTGGTTACTAAAAAAGACTGGACATACCCCATTTGCAATACCTTGGGTTGTCTTCTTTTGCAAATGGTATGCCATCATGGGGGTAATTCTCATTCCTGGGCTACCATACGCTCTCAAAGGCAACGTAACCAACCTGGCCATTTTCAATGAAAATATTTGACCCATATATTTGACCCTGTAACTTTCAAAAATGCCATACAACCTGTACATGGGGGGTAGTGTTTTACTTGGAAGACATCGCTGAACACAAATATTAGTGATTAAAAACTGGAAAACTTATCACAACAATTATATCATCAGTAAAAGTGCAGTTTGTGTGTGAAAAATGCAAAAAAAGTCACTTTCACTGACAATATCATCGCTGTGATATGTTTTACTGTTTTCAATCACTAATATTTGTGTTCAGCGAAGTCTCCCGAGTAAAACTGTACCCCCCATGTACAGGTTTTAGGGTGTCGTAGAACGTTACAGGGTAAAATACAGTGCTAGCAAATTAAATTCTCTGGACTTTCGGCCTGGGTTGGCAGTCAGGTCCCTCAAATTGCAATCAATAAAATTACTTAATTATGTAAAAATATTACATAAATACGCACATAGAATTTAAATATATATGCATATTTATATATTTGAAGTCTACGTGTATATTTATATAATTATTTATGTAATTTTGTATATGGACATATGTATATTTCGGATTATTTTTATTTAAATAATAATAATGCTCTCATGCTTGGAGGCTAGGTGGGGCGTAATTTGGCAGCTAGGTGGGGCGTAATTTGTCATTCACCCAGGCATCACCACTTAGACCATGTCCTGTTGTAGTGTTCTAATGTGCCACCTATTGTATGTGCCATCTGCTCGTACTGTTGGGTGAGGCTTACTTTGGCGAGTACTGTCTTTATGTCAGGTACTGTCGTAGTTTTCCACAAGGCGGCTATGCACGTTTTAGCTGCTAAGGTGATGTGGGTAGTCAGCACTGCTTCATAGGCTGTAAGGTCTCGGGGTAGCATGTGGAGCAGATAGTGTTCAGGTTTGAGTGGTAATTGTTTTCCTAGTTTGGATTTAATTATGTCTTGGATTTGTTGCCAGTATTGGCTGAGTGCCGGGTAGTACCAGAATATGTGGCTCGTGTTTCCCACTTGTTGGCTGCAGCGCCAACATCTATCCTGCACCCCTGGGTATATTTGGGCCAACCTGTGTGGTGTGTAGTACCACTGCATCCACATCTTGTAGGCTGCTTCTACATGGTCCAAGCACTTTGTCGCCCGTTTAACCAGTGTCATGGCCCCTATCCACTTCCCATGCTCGAGTTCGCAGTTCAATTCTCTTTCCCATTTGAGCATGTATGATTGTTTGGCCGGTCTGTCTATGTCTAGCAACCTATGGTAACACAGGGAGAGTGGTTTTTTGGGGGGTTTTAGACCTTGGCATAGCAAGTCAAAGTGGTTTTGGGGTTGTGTTGGTGTCCTTTCCTTGCCGGTGGCCCCTAAGATATGTTTTATGCGTAAATATGTGAATATTTCGCTGTTTGGTAGGTGGTATTGGCTCTGGAGGTCCGGGAACGCTAGCAGCCCATTAGCTCCATAGAGGTGTGTTATCTGCGTCAGCCCCCTGTCCACCCACTCGCCCAGATCCAGGTCATGTGTGTGGTGCTGGAGACTTGTCAGTGGGGCAAGGGTCTCTATCTTTGCACTGAGCATTTTTGGGGCCCATCTCAGCCATAGCTGCAGGGTCAGCTTGGTTGTTGTGAGAGGGTTCGTGAGTCGAGGTTGGGCCTTGGCTGGGATCCAAACCAGGTCCCTAAGGGAGTAAGGCGCACAGACAGCACTTTCCAGTTGGTGCCACAGTGGGCAATTCGAGGTGGAGAGGAGGCGTGCCGTCTGAGATATGTTTGTTGCTAGGTAGTATTTGGTTATGTGTGGCACACCCACCCCGCCTCCCCCCATGGCTGTGCTAATATTTGCTAGTGAGATTCTGGGTGGTTTTTTCCTCCATATGTGTGCGTTGATGAGTCGCTGAAATGCTCGGAGGGTGTAGTTTGGTAAACTGATGGGTAGGGCCCTGAATAGAAATAATACTTGCGGTAGTATGATCATTTTCACGGCGTTGATGCGCCCCAACCAGGATGTGTGTTTGTTTTTGCTTCCCCAGCCCTCCAGCACCTGCTCTATTTTTGCTGTGAGTCGCCCGTGGTTATGTTTTATGAGGAGCTGTTTGGAGGGTGCTAGTTGTGTGCCTAGATAGGAAATGGTATCTTTCCTCCATTCAAAGGGGTATAACGTTCGTAGGGTCGTGAGTTGGGATCTGGGCATGTTCAGCGGGAGCACCTGTGTTTTTGCTACATTATTTTTGTAGTAAGAGACCTGGCCATAGTCCCGTAGTAGGTCCAGGAGGGCGGGTAGGGAGTCCGAAGGGTTTGTTAGGAAGAGAAGGATGTCGTCAGCAAACACTGCCATTTTTTGCGGGCCTGTCGGGGAGGGGGCGCCTAGAATGCAGGGGTTAGTCCTGATTTTATGGAGCAGGGGCTCCAGTGCCAGGATAAAAATGAGGGGCGATAGGGGGCATCCCTGTCTTGTGCCGTTCGTTAGGGCGAATCTGCTGGAAATGAAACCAGAGTTCATGACTGTGGCTTGGGGGAACGAGTAGAGGGATAAGAGCCCAGCTAGGAATTTTGTCGGGAAGTTGAACCTACGCAGGACCTCTGTCATGTAACCCCAGTGGAGTCTGTCAAAGGCCTTTTCTGCGTCTAAGGCCATTATTAAGCCCTGTGACCGATCTCTATTCATGAGTTCCATTACGTCAAGGGCTCGTCTGGTGTTATCTTCTATCCTGATTGTTCTGGGGATACTAATTGAGCTAGTGTAGGGCGTATTCTGTTTGCAAGGGTCTTGGCGAACAATTTTGTGTCAGCGTTGAGGAGTGAGATTGGGCGGTAGTGTGCGCATGTATCAGTAGTTTTGCCTGGTTTAGGGAGCGTAGTAATGGTGGCTTCCAACATTTCCAGGGGTATCTCCCCCGACTCTAGAATGTGGTTGAATAAGGCCGTGAGATGGGGGAGTAACTGGTCCTCAAAAACCCTGTAGTAGTGGGTTGAGAAGCCGTCTGGGCCTGGGGCTTTGTGTCTGGGCGTGTCGTGTAGAGCCTTTGATACTTCAGATGCTTCAATTGGGTTAGTCAGTGCAGCGGCCTGTTCGTTGGAAAGTCGAAGGAGAGTCACTCCGTCTAGGAAGGAAGTAATATCTTGGGGATTGGGTTGGTGTTGGTTGGCGTCCCCAGACAGGTTGTGTAGCCCTGCGTAAAATTGGGCAAACTTGTCTACTATCGCTTTGGGGTTTCTAATCTTGGTGCCC